AACCTCAAAGCATGTTATAAAATGTTTTTCCATTGTTCCTAGCTCAGGTTATTAGGAATTTTTATACCCAAACAAATTGTGATTCTGTTGTTTTCTCACTGCATGCTGCGAGAGGAGGAAATAATTTGTTTTCTGTTACCCTGTTACAGAGCACTTCTGTGCCTTCAGAAAGAAAAGGAAGTAACTTAAATTATGCTCTTAATTAAACTTGAAATAATTAATATAAATTACATTTTATGTAAAATTTACATTAAAAATGTATCTACAATTTACATTTTACTGCTATTCTTTTTAGTCTAGCATGATATATAGTCTTTGATAAGCACTGGCTTCTAGTATCCTTCCCAGTGTGTTTAGATGCAGTTGAGCAGAAATGAAGTGTTAGCAGGGCTCTGCTTCATGACGAAATGGCATGGTCAAGATGAGAGGTCTTCATTTCCTTTGTAGCAAATGAATTGGCAGTTGCAAACCAAGATTAAGCAATAGATATTTTAAAATGGGGACCGAGACTCTCAGAATCAGAGCAACAGCCTGTGAAGATGGGATGAAGGGAGTTGACTCTATTGGTGCATGAGGAAAGCAATTGGAAGGAGTTTGAGATAGTGTTAACTAATTACTGTTAACTTAGAGTGCTAAGGGAATTGAGAGGAGGAAGGAAGTACCAATAGCTGGCAAATACTGATTGTTGTGATTTTTGGTTTAAAGGAAAGATAGTAGAGGAGAAGAGCTGCTCCCATTAATTGAATTTCCAACAATAAGAGCAGGGTTTTTACCCCTGGTGTAATTGTGGGTGCAGTCTTCAGCATTCAAATGAAGCTTGAGCGTTTGATGCTTGTTTCGGAGAGAGTGGGTGGGAACCTTGTGCCTGCCTCTTCCTGATTCTGGTGTTTTGTTGGAGCATAGAGATGCTGTTGTGCTGCTGAAAATTGCTGTAGCCCTTTGGAAATCCCCCTTGGAGGCCTATTTGCTGTTTCCCTTTGTTAGAATTTTTGGGTTTGGACTTTGTGACAGATCTGGCCATCTGGAGCTCTGTGGCTGAAAAAGCCATGCTATAAAAAAGCAGACCTTTTTACTGAGCTAGGTGTGGGTGGTGTTTCAATTTCAAATTGCTTCTATACTTAAGTCTTAGCTAAAAGAGAAATCCAGTAAATATTTCTGTGTTTGTTGTGGTAGGCAAATGTAGTCGTCTTTCATGAAAACCTAAAAATCAAAGGAGAGCTTATTATAAGGTATGGTAAATGACACTGCTGACACACTCACTAGCTAATTCAAAACACATGGTTTCTAACTGCTTTTTAAACTACGAACTATTCTAAAATTTTACTTAGGCTCTGTAATTGTGAGATGGCTCCAAGAGTGGTATGTGGTTTAAACTTATAGTTGCAAGTGTTGACTTTACAGAGCCATGTTTCTTAATGTCGCTAAAATGAAAAGAATAGAAGGATTCTTTGTGGTGTACAGATTGCTAAAATGTGTTAAAGTAAAATGACCATATTATTTTATGTTTGTAACAAATACAGAATAGCATTAAATCATATTTTTGGAACAAGAGTTTGAACCAAATTACTCAAAGTTTGGGGGTTTTTTGTTGCAAAGATAAATGGCGATAAAGATAGAAAGGCCTGAGAGGTGTAATGGTGTGCCATGAAAGTCAACATGACAAATGAATAGGTTTATCTTTTTCTTTGAGATAAAGGTCTTTGTTCAGACTCTGACATAAATGTGTCTAATACTGTTTATGCAATGCCAGAAATACAAAGAAATCTTAGTTATTTAAATATGCTCTTGGTCATACATCTTCCAGTTGTATTGTTGGACTGGTGGTTGAGTCATCAGAGGTAAATTTTACTAAATTTTACTTCTACTAAGTAACTTTTGATAAGTGTGTACGCAAAACTTCTTTTGAAATTAGCTGACTTATTTTGTCTTTTGTCTGTAGGAGATAATAATTGATATACTTGTGAAGCATTAGACTTTGCTAAATTGTGTAGAAAATTGAAGGAAAAGAAAATGTATGCCAAGCGTCTCTGACTAGATTGGATAAAACCAGAAATGGATTAAATCCCACTCTCTTTTCCAACATTAGAGGTCTCGTTGCAGTGATAGACTCTCCATTTCTCTGCTGAGGGAGGAGAAGCAGCATGATTTGGTGGTTTTAGCTATTCAGTGCAGGCAGAGTTAATAAATACATCAAGCAATAAAGTATATTTTGACAGGGATTGTTGGGAAACAAATTCAGTGTATTAGAAAAGATGAGTGGTCACTAATCTGATTAACTCACAGCTCAGTATATCAAAAGAGAGAACACTTTATCTATGCTTGATGCTGACTTTGTTTCCTGGCGTGAAACTACTGCCAAGAAAGTTGTTTCAACAGTGAAATACTAGTTGATAGCTGAGATTGTTTGAAGGACAGCAGGGACAGAATGAACCATCCAGTCTTTAAGTTTTATCTTC